CTTGACACAGCTCAGCTTTATGTCCCTTCCTCAGAATTTTTACTAAAGCTTTCGACAGCCTTGGCTAACTCACCAGATGGGTTTGAAAGAATGTCATTACAGAGTCCTTATGAGTTGGCAAACAAATGTCAACAAAAGCTTTGTACTTTATCCAGACCAGCCCATGCTGAGGACTCCAAAGTCTGATTCTCAATACTAAAATATTTTCATGTAAAAAATATGTCCCATCTGAAGCTCTACAGCTTTGCTCATGTGTTCTCCCTCTCCCCGTCTCTCCATTCTCTCTCTCTCTCTCTCTCTCTCTCTCTCCCTCTCTCGCTCTCTCTCTCTTTCTCCCTCTTCCCTTTCTCTTTCTGTCTCTGTTTAAATTTAGACTTCATAATAATAAAATATTTCAAATGAGCACCAATTCTAAAAGTCACCCTGTCCATCAGAGGCTAAGTCAACAGGTTGGAGAATAATAGCACTTGGGGGGAGATAAATCCTCTTGGTACTTAACATTATGCATTTGTGTTTACGTCTATACACATGTATAACTTATCTTCCTTTCACCCACTATGTCTCAGTTTTATATTTGTTACATGAAACAGATAGTAGGTCCTTCCTCTGAGAAAAGAGAAATCAATATGACCAGTGACCAGCCCGGTAGGGAAGTTCTGTCTCCTGAATTGCAGCAGGTCCCCACCTGAAACTTGAGTTGTTGAGAAAGCAGGACACAAGCATTGCCAGGAGGAAACCTTTTAAGTTGTCTCTGTGTAGGACTCGCCACCTGGGTTGCAAATGGCCCATCTGTTAGCACTGGCAGTCTCCTTGAGAGGCAGGAATAGCTTCTGCAAAATTGAATGTCCCACACAGGCTCCATGATCATCAAGAGGGGAAGAACCAAATGGCTCTCCCACACTGTGGCCCACCCACGTGAGAACATGGATGAATGGTGAAGAGCAAGCCTGGCAGATGTCCTCAACAGGGAAGAGCAAGCAGCATATTTCCACACTGTGCTTCTGGTCATACTTGACTTGTGAAAGGTAGGAGTAAACAGCTACTCAGAGTGTTGGCTGAGTTGGGAAGGGACAAGCTGGGAAGCATGCTATTCTGAAATGATATTCATATATTCATTATATTTTAACTAGAGGCCCGGTGCATGAAATCTGTGCACAGGTAGGGTCCCTAGGCCTGGCCGGTAATCAGGCCCGATTGGGGCCTTCCGGCTGCTGGTTGGAGCCCTCCTTCCCCAGCTTCCGGCTGCCAACCAGGGATTGCCTTCATTTTTCACTGCCCCCTGGTGGTCAGCTCATGTCATAGCGAGTGATCGAACTCCTGGTCTCCCGGTCAAACTCCCAAGGGGACACATTGCATATTAGCCTTTTATATATATAGATATGCATTTACTGATACAGTTACAATGTTTTTGATGTGTCAGAAAGAAACTCTAAATTTGACCTTAATTAGGAAAAAAGGTTTTTCATGTCCTCATTTATCAGAAATGCCTAGTCTGCCACTCTCTGTTCAAGGAAGTCTATGGTACTGACGACTGGCATGTGGGAGGGTTGTTCACAGGGACTGGCACAAGGGGATCTCACTTGGAAGATACCAGTATCTCAGGAGCTGTGATTCCCTTCCACTTTTTCTCTTATCCTCTTGACAAAAGATTCTTCTCATCTCTCTCTCATCAAGAACTCAAATCTCTCACCCTGCCCGGTTTTTCTCAGTGGTTAGAGCATTGGCTCAAGTACCGATGGGTCTCAGGTTCAATCCCCACTCAGGGGCACATAGCTTGGTTACAGGTTTGATCCCCAGCACTGGTCATGGTGCATGTGGAGGCAACTAATCCATGTGTTGTGTCTGTCATGTGGAAGCAACTAATCCAAGTGTTGTGTCTCTCTCACATTGATGTTTCTCTCTCTCTCTCTCGCTCTCTCTCACACACACACACACTCTCTCTCTCTCCCCCTCTCCCCCCCCCTTCCCACTCTCTCTAAAAAAAATAATAATAATGGAAAAAATATCCTCGGGTGAGGATTTAAAAAAAAAAGAATTCAGGTCTCTCAGCTCCATTCTTTAAACCCATCTGTACTTCTCCCCATTTCCTCAGACTCAATATTATCTAGCCTTTGAGAGAAAAACTTACTTTGCAACCTAGCATTCACTTTAGACCTTTCTTTTTAACCCTTAGGGCAAATGTTTCTTTGAATACGTATTTGTTTCTGCCCGTGGATGAACTTAAACAGCAAAAATGGCTGACAAGCTCCCACTGGCAGATGAAGGGGTCTGAGCAGCTTCCCAAGATGTGCTGCTTTGGCAAGGGCATTATTTTGAGATAAAGGCCATCAAAATCCTGGGGACTCAATTGAAACGTTTACCTCTCCCTTAAAGCATTTAAATGTAGTGTCTCGCCCATAATAAGAGTTATCACCAGAAATGACTTTTTATGACTTATGTATAGGGCAGGGTAAACTTCTAATAACTGAACATCTGCTCTTCGAATCCAGCTGTTAATGCCCCTCCGCCGTTCTGAAGCTCCAGGGATCTTACCTTCATTCCTTGACACAAGGTTTCATATATACTTCGTTTTATCCATTTTATCTTTCTGTCTCTGAATAGCTTGTGTATGTGTGTGGTGGTGGGGGGGGTGTCTCATACTCTCTCATGTATGCAGGATTCCTCTGTGTACATATGTAAGTGTGGGCATTTTCTCTTGGTAATCTGTCTCAGGTAAATTTAATTACTAGGCCAACCAAAAGAAACTAGAGGGACAGAGTAAAATGCCGTACCACACAGAGCAGAAAGGGGACTACACAGAATGTACATGGATTTGTACTTGAAGGAAAACACTACATTTTTAAAGACATTATCACATGTTTTCTTCACACTACCACTTTTAGGTAGATATGATTAGCCATTCTGTACAGATGAGAAAACTGAGGTTCAAAGAGGTGATACTTCAGCTGAAAAATGTGGCCTATCTATAGATGATATGAGTGTGTGGGTAGCAGAATATGCCACCTCAAAATATACATCTTTGGCATTTGGATTATTTTAAGATGATTATTTTGAGAACTAGACATAGGAGAAGCTCTGAAAACATAGTAGAAATTACCCTTTATTTACAAGAGAAACTCACATTTATAAAATAAATCTACATTTGTGTTTCCTTTCTTGTACCCTGAAGAGGATGACTTACCAGTGGAGAAGGAAGAGAGTTAAATCTGCATAGCAAATCATATTCTTGCCTACTGTGCTTTTTCTGGTAACCTCCCATAACTGGCCTCTCCCTCGTCCATATTCTTTCTTTTGTCTTTAGCTAAAGATAGTATTTAAAGTGGTGGCTTGGGCCATTTTAGGGAGTTTACTCATTTTTCCTGGGTATCCCCCATGTATACAAGAAGTATGCCTGTTAATAAACTGTTTGTGTTCTCTTGTTAATCTGTCTTTTATGAAAGAGAGTCTCTGCCAAGAACTCGGAAGAGTGAAGGGTACATTGCTCCGCCTGCC